GCCTATGCAGATAGCAAAACTAGAATATGCATGTAATGTAATGAGCTCCAGTTCCTTAATTTGAAGTGCAACAGTACATACTTGTTTTCATTAACTAGGTAAGCATCAGTGATCTTAAACTACAAACAAAAAGGGTTGTTAACGGATTTGCTGGGAGGGGGGGAAAAAAGCCAGCAAAAATTAGTTGCCTATGGAGTTGAATTTAAATGCTGCCTTAGTAGTGATAGCTATTATTTCTTTGATAATAATGAATCCTAAATAATGGGCTGCTGCTGGTAGAATGACTTGCTTTTGGAAATTTCAAACTAATTTTTTTTCTAATTATAAGGTGCGAGACTTCTATCTCAAAGTGTTGAAGGAGGATGAACGCCAAAGGCTGTGTAAAAATATTGCTGATCATCTTAAAGATGCTCAACTTTTCATTCAAAAGAGGGCTGTAAGTAGTCTGTTTGCTTTCAGTCTTTGCTCTTTTTTTTCTGCAGTCCAGGCTGTCTAGCAACTTTGTCAAAATAACACGGTGCTTATGAGACAAAGATGAGCAATTCTGCTTCTAGATAACTTGCAGACTTTTCTTTCTTTTGCAGGAATTGCAAATACAGAACATTTTAATGTGTGAATATGTGTAAATAATGTAGAATATGCTGGAAGGACTTGTTCCTACTGAGAGAAATTTGAAGTTGAACACCAGGGATGTCGTTATGTTTATCTTTGCACTTTAAAAATCAGATGATTTGTTTAAATTCAGGAGAGGCCTTTTATGTATGCTTAAAGAAGCAATGATTCATTGTGTTCATTGCTCCCTTCTGGTCGCTGAAAATCAAACTTAATTTTGAAAATGCTTTTCTATCCTTCTATTCTTCCTTTTATATTCTGATTATAGATCACAGAATAAGGGAAATTCATTGCATTTTATGTTGTCTTGTTTAGGTGAAAAACTTCAATGATGTTCACCCTGACTATGGTGCGCGTATTCAGGCACTGCTGGACAAATACAATGCTGAGACTGGGAAAAAGGTGTGCTGATGACTTGTGCTGCTCAATTTTGTTGAACCAAATATTTTAGTTTTATTCATATGTTTACCAGAATGAAGAGTCTATTTTAACTTGCATTTGATTTTAAATGGGAGAAGTCAATGCATGTGGAATTACAAAATGAGGGAGCATCACTCACTTAAAAAAAAAAAAAAAAAAAAAAAAAAAAAAAAAAAAAAAAAAAAAAGACTGGTTAATCAACATTTAATTTAATGTAGTTAATTGCTTTCCAAAGGTTTGGAAAATAAGTGGAAGTGCTTTGCAAGGTGTTCAGGTTGATTCTTCATACAAAACAATTATCTACTTTCTGTAGTAGTAAAAAACACTTTAATGGGACTTTTCTGACTACACAGAATAAAAAATTGTTGCTCAATTGTATTTTTTCCTGCAATTTCTGTGACTGCTTTAATGGAACTTACTCTAATTATTTCTCTTGTATCACTTCTTAGGATGTCATCAGGACATACACACAAGCCAGTTCTCGTGTGTCTGCCAAAGAGACGTCCAACTTGTAAAGTGTGCTGCAGAGAATTACCATATGAATTTTGCGTCCATACAACTGTGGGACAGCCTGTTGAAAATGTATTGAATGTGGCAGAATTCCCCACAAATTTTTTACAGGCTTGATTTTTTTTAAGCTTTCAAGTGCCTGTATCTGTACTGGAAACAGTAAGTAACACAAGCTAACAATCCTAGTGCCTTTCAACGCTAGTGCTTTACTGCTCGCTAAAAACATGGTGTTTTCAAGGAAACTGAAAAGTTTTCCTTTCTAAGAGGAAACATAAATTCACGTTCTATTCCATCTTTTTAAATGTAAAACTATCTCTGGCTAAATTGCACAATAAGACTTAAATAATGATACTGTGATTATCCTTATGGATAAACTTGTTCATGTTAAAAAGCTGATATTACTTAGTATTTCTAGTAAAGTAGTTACCTGAATGTATTTGTAGGCTCTTCCTTTTGAAATTGTTTTATCTTCCTGAATAAAAATAATACATATGCAGTAGTTCTGGTAAAATATTGGTTATTTCTCATTCCTTTGTAAAAAATGGAGCTGAATAGGAAGCTTATCTCACATATGTAATTTTCATTCTAAACACACATTGAAGATAACAAATCTCTACTTATTTAATGCTGTGTCAGAGATAACTGATTTAAGGGAGATGGCAGGTGCTGTTATTTTCTACTTGTGTATGCTTTACAACCAAAGTGATTACATCTTACAAGTCTGTAGGGGGAGAAAAAAAAAAAATTTCTCATTTACAAGTATTTAAATTGAAGAACATTAATTTTTCCAAACATGTGGAACATTAACCTCCAAATACATTGATTTACAAGCTTAGATGCCTTAAACTATTCCCAATAGCTCCTGAAGTTGTTTGACTGCTGTAATCTGATGTTGCTTAAGTCAGAGCTGGTTTTCAAAATTAAAGCCTAATTGAAATGGTGTGTTTGTATGCATGCACGTTCATCTATGTAGGGATAAAAGGGATAAAACCTGATTTTAGACATATTGGAATGTTTTACACTGTTTGCAATTTAGTTAATCAGTACAAAAAGAAATTGCAACCCTTTGGATTGAGAAGTGTTATTTCTTCTGATAGTTCAAAGGAGTTTTTTTAGCATATTGATATTTTATCTACAGTTTTGGAGTATAATCTTTAATAGTACCTTATGAACTGAGACATAATGAAAGCGTTTATATTTTAGCTGTATCCTGAGTTCTTAAGTTTTATGATAATTACAGAAATTCTGGTTTTATCGTACCTGAACATGTATGGTGTTGGTCTAAGAAACTACAGTCAGTGCCTGAATATTTCACAATGTGTTCATACCACAAAGCCATGGCTTAAGCCACATTTTTTGTAGAGGCCAAAAATCCCAACAAGTATTTTTTCTTAACTAACTTGGAAGTATCACCCAGTTATGGGGTAACTAGTGTTCAAACTGATGGTTGGAATTTAGAATAAAATTTGTCATTCCCATTACACATTGAAGCTGTTCCTAATGGAATAAAAATGTTTTCTAACTGTGCTCAATAGGCAGTTTGCCGTGCATCTATAATTCCAGCAAGTATCAATAATTCTGCCTGTTACTTTTCCCTCTTCCCTTACCAAAGAGAAAGATCAGCATGTATATGTAATCAGTCCAGATCTTAGTTACACAACATTGCCCTCAGTTTGAAATATACACTTTCCTTGCTTACCTGCTAATACTGCTTTACTAGCATTTGGATTGAAAGAAGCACTGAATGATGATAAAAGATTTCAGAGCCCAGCTACTAGCTTTTAAGCAAATATACCAGTTTCAACAGTTGGTGCATTTGAGGATCTACGTTGGATTGCATTTTGAGTAGGGATACTCCTTGATTTGGATTTCAAGCACAAATTAGCGTTATGAGAAGTGATACAGATAGACTGAAAAAAAATTGATAAAGTACTGTTAACTAGAAACTTTGTAGAAAGCTATTCCAACTCATTTACCTACTAACCTATCGTGAAAAAACATCTGTGTGATAAAGTAAAATGATATCAAATGATGGTCTGTTTTATCCTGGGATTTGTCTGGATAATTGCATGATGAGGCTGGTGGGAAATGAAAGAGCTGTATAAATGAGTGGGAATTTGTTTTGCTGACACAGAAAATCCTAATGAGTCTTGGGAAGGAGTATGCAAGACTTTGTAATTTTCATGATCTCTGGTAAATGGATTATGTTGCCTTTCTTTTGTTTCTGAAATAAAGCAATTAAAAACTTCTTTGCTACATGTTGCCTTTTTTTGTGAGCCTATATTCAATCAGTTTATTTTAAATGACAGCATGAATTTGTTAATTTGGGTTGTTTTTTTTTTTTTTTTTTTTTTTTTTTTTGAGGTTTTTTTGTTGTTGTTGTGATAGTGCAGAAGCTGTTGAAGTTCTGGGGAACTGGTATTTATTTTAGACCACAAGTTACTTGGATTGCACAAGCTCTGATGAAGACCTCATAAGCAAACAAAGGTTGCAGACTCAGGCTGACACTTCAAATTCATGTGATGGTGCCAACAAGTAAATTCTATTCAGTACTGATATGACAAATTACCTGTTTGAAACCTTCTCTTTAATTTGTAAGGCCTTCTGAAAAGAAAATGCTGCTTGAATCTGTGGTACAGCAGTGTCTGAGACTGTGTACCCTGTGAAAGGAGAAAAAATTGCTTTTGAACTTCACTGTGGCTTTTGTTGATGGAGTCTTCCTTAAGGCTTTACATGCTAAGGGACCTTTTGATATTTTTCATCTAAAATTTTCAATTTCAATTTACAGAACAGTCATAAGTTCATCCAGTTTTTCATCAAAGTTAACTCATTCTGTTGGACACTATTAATAAAGAGCACGCAGTTGAAATAAAACACTTGAAATATGTCTCAGTGTTCCCATAAGGTCTTTCAACAGGCTCTCGGTATAGATAGTTGTTCTTCAATATATATATTGCCCAAATGTTCAACTTTTCTTTTATTATGCTTGTTACTTTTTCTTCATGGGCAAGGAGCAGAGATATCTTGGGACAGCTCACACAACTGGGTTGCTGCAATGGATGGTTATTTCCTCTTGAGGAAAGATAGGCTGACAAGGTGGTGGAGTTGCTCTTTATGTAAGACAGCAACTAGAACTTGGAGGGGAATGGTGATCAGGTGGAGAACTTGTGGGTAGGAATGAAGGGGCAGGCTAACATAGGTGATACTGTTGTGTGTACTACAGGCTGCCTGATCAGGAGGAGGAAACGGATGAGGCCTTTTACAAACGTCTGGTAGTAGCCTCACCATCCCTGGCAATGGCTCCCATGGGGGACTTCAGCCATACTGATATTTGTTGCAGATGGCCAGGCACACGAGGTCCAGGTGGTTCCTGCAATGTTTTGATAAATTTTGACACAGGTGGTGGGAGGGGCTGATGGGCAGGGATGTGCTATTTGAGCTTGGTTTTGCTAGCAAGGAAAGGCTGGTCAGTGTTGTGGTGGTTGGGGGAAGCTTAGGATGCAAGATGGTGGAGTTCCTGATTTTGTGTGGAAGAAAGAAAGCAGTAAATAGAATTGCTGCCCTGAACTTCAAGAGAGCCATCTTTGACTTTTTCAAAGATGTACTTGGAGGTATCCCATGGACTAGAGTGTTAGAAGGTAAGAGGGCCCAGGAGGACTGGTTGGCACTTTAATACCACTTATTTCATGTTCAAAATCAGTGCATCCTTTAGAGTAAGAAATACAGGGAGGCATGGCTAGAGGCCTGCTGGATGAGCAAGGAACTCATGGATAAAATGAAAGGAAAGGAGAAAGTCCATGAAATGTGGAAAAAGGGCTGCCCACCTGGGGAGATTATAGCAACTTTCTCAGGGCTTGTAGGGATGCAACAAAGGTCAACATGCTCTTGGAATTAAACCTTGCAAAGGAAGTAGAAGATAACAAGTTCAGGGTTTTTTTTGTTTGTTTGTTTGTTCATTTGTTGAACTTGAATGCAGGAAATTTTGTATTAACCTGTAGAAGAACTTCCAACCCCTATGATTCTGTAAACATGCCTCATGCATGTTGAAATGTAACCTTTGCAAAATAGTGGTTAAACACATCTATTGATCATGAGTTGGAAAGGGCATTATCACACAGCACTCCTGGAGGTTTTAATAAAATGTTTAACACAAACAACTGTTTCTTAACTTCAGTGGCATGGCCAGATAAAGGCAGTCTGAACGAATGATTGTAGTTAATAAATTATATTGCAAATTGTACTAGTTTAGAGTAGAGGTTAGGCTAAAACTTGAACAGCATCAAGTCAAAAACTAAGTTCTGGGTCACAAGAAAGACCAAGGAAACATCTTCTGTAGTAGTAGAATGGGCTAGATAGTTAACAGTTGCAGCTATATTTTATTTTAGCTCTCTGTTGTTGCGCTTAAGACTGAACAGTGTTCTGTGCTAAAAGTTAACAATGACAGGTGTTTCAAAGTAAAACCTGCCTTTTTTTTTTTTTTAAAGACTCTAAGTGGGGTTTTAGCAGGTAGGCAGCACTGAGCAAACAATAATGCTATTTGTACAAGTAACCCAGGTGATAAATCTATTTATGACTATGCATTGTGAAAGCTAAGACAGTTTGTGTGACATGACACAATCTTATTTGTATTGTGACTTTGTATTCTGCTCAAGTAAAATATTTGTTTTCTAGGTTATTGCAGTGCCGTTCTTTTTTTTTTTTTTTGTATTAAGAATTACTCGATTTCTTCATAGTTTTTTTAGATGCTCATTGGTAACAATGGATTGAAAAATGAGTTTGACAGTTTTAAAACCTAGAGCTTCTCCAGGGCCTTTTCCCTTTGTTGCTAGATGGGGGAGTGCTAACACTTAAGAAAAGGAAAACAAAGTAGCAGACTCTAGTATTGCAGAAGATAGTAGCTGAAGTGAGCTATAGCAAGAGATGACTGTGTGTGGAATTGCTACATCTTCTCTGGGAAAAGGGTGAGCTAGATTTGGGTCAGATAGTTATTGCTTCATGCATGTTACAAAAAGTAAGTCCGGAATTCCTTTATTGAACTGACTAGAGAAATTTCTGGTGAAATTCACTCATGAGGACTGTCTGCTAATCTTGGTGTGGGTATCTATGACTTAGCATACATAAAATCAATCTTGCTGATTTGCAAAGTAATTTTATACATCTGCTCGTCTTAGAGACAATGGCTGTGTACTGTTCTTTTGAAGAGCTGATGCATGAGCTGGCAGGCATGCAAGCCACTGCTTCCCACAGAATTACATCTAAGCAAGAGTATTCTCTTTTGAGATGCCACAGAAGGAAGTGGTTGCTGTGGGTTGATTCCACACTTTGCCTGTGAGAGTTTGAGTACCCTCTGCATTGGAGCTCCATTACTCCTTCTTTTTAACTGTTTCATTGTTATCTGCAATTTAAAAGTTAATTGGGTGAGTGAATGTGAAGAAACATCTACTTTCTTACTAAATATTATGGGCGTCAGTTTGTGATACTAAGAAAATGTTTTATTGACTGTAAGCAACGAAGTTGTATATTAGAGGTGAACTTCCACCCATTTATCTGTTTTCCATTTGCTATGTTTCAAAGTTAAGCAACAGGCTGTATGAGTAGTTAATACTAATTTTAAGACCTTAATCTAGAAGCTTGCGTGGGGAAAAAAACATTTTCAAAGATGCGCATAGCTTGACTGGGCCTTCTTGCAAAATGTATTTTTAGATGTGTTAAGAGCTCCTTTTTAACATCACAGATAGGAATTCCAGACAACGAATGTTTAATCATGAAAAAAATGTGCTCACTGTGTTACAACAGGCCATTATAGCCCACTTTGCTTGGGTGCTAAGAGGAGGGGGAAAAAGTGACGTTGTTTTTTTTTCCCACTGATCAGAATCACAACTGTAGGGTTGGAAGGGACCTCTGGAGATCACCTGATCTGACCCCCTGCTAAAGCACATTCCCCAGAACAAGTGAAATAAAAAAGTGTTCAGGTAGATTTTGAATATTTCCAGGGAAGGAGGCTCCACCATTTTGGAAAGAAATGCAGTGTTCTCATTGTTTTCCTGTAATAAATATCTTAAATGATTCTTAATGCTAAACAATTTTACCCTTGAACCCTTCTTTTTGCCCCCTTTTTTGTCTCCTAATTATTCAGTCCTCATTCTGCTTCTGGGATGGCTTGTGGCCTTCATTTCACTCCTTCTGTCTAAGGGAGGGAGAAGAGGAAGAAGATAGATATGTGCTTTTTTTTATGTGATATGTGAACAGGAACCGAAGGATCCCATCTTGGATGTGCATGCATACATGCACCATACAATCTGTATCACAGAAAGCTAATACAAATATGGAAAACTCATAATAAAGCCTTAAAGCTAGAGGTTTTAAAGGCATTCACACATTAACCTCAAGTCAAACCATTCTGCACTTGGGGTTTTTCTTGCTGAGGGGTTTGAGGCTTCAAAACAATATTGCAGAAGTGGATGTTCTAATCTCTTGTTGACACAGGGTTATGACATGACATGCAATCCATAGTAAAGCTTGGCCTTTTTTCATAGGTAGTATTTTAAAATTCAGTTGGAACTGAGGCTTGAGCTCGTAGTGGAGCTGAGATGACCCAGAGTATGATGTACAGAGCTGGATTTGAGCACTTGATCCAGCTGACATTAACGATGTAACCAGCAATTTGCGATTGCAAATGAAACTAAAGCAAGTTTGCCAAATCAATGGTTTGACTCAGTAGCAGCTAGATTCTCAATTAAATATTGGATCTCCAGTATCAAAGAGAAATGCTTTTGTAATCTGTGCTCAACCATCATCTCCCACGTAACTCTTAAAGGTACCAGCAAAGTCTGTGTTATATTCCCTTCCTCTTTTGTCCCATTAGTAACGTACCATTATTCTTTCCTTATGAAAACTTTCCACATGAGGAGCTCCTCTTGCTTAAGATGATTTCACTTGTGGGGATGGATCTGATAGATTGAAGGTGATTCCTGAAAATGCCGTGTGTGCAAAGGATTGCCTCTTTCCATAGTCTGAAAGCTAATTGAGGCTGAACAATGAGACACTAGTTAAAAGTAGCAGGTGAAGTAGCATGATGTTAAATTCACTGGCGGTGGTATTTTTTACAGCCTGGATTGCTGTATAGGGCTGATGTGATTTAGTAGTATGATAAAAGCTTGAACTATGTCATGGTGAAGTTCCACTCAAAGTTGAACTTCAACTCTAGTACAGTTGGTAGTCTCACTTCATTGCATTCTGAGAGTAAACAAGCCTTCAGGAGCTGTGCTGAAGCTTATTTGCAGGTGATTTTATGTTACTTTTTTATTTTTATTTATTTATTATTTTTTTTTAACATCCTGCTTACTAGAGCAGAATAACAGCATTTTTTTTCTCTCCTAGAAATTACAGCCTGACCTGTTTTGTTACGTGATGGTAGTTTACCTTGAAAGGAAACATTAGATGCAGGTTACTTCAAACTTTTCTTCAGAGGAACTTGGGCACAGTATCTTAATAATTTATTGAAAACCTTGAAACATTTACCTCAATCTCATTTCAGTTCAAATACTGCAAAACTGTAATAAAACAAGTCAGAAGCAAAAATGCAAGCCCTGTTTGATAGTATATGATAAAAAAGCATTCAGAACAGATTTGCTGTGGCTGTTAACATCAGTGCTTATTCTTACTTTATTCCTCTCAGTTGCTACCATTTTTAACCTGATTGACTTTTTCCCTTACTGAGAATTCTGTTGTTTTTTTTTAAATTTTTTTTTCAATATCTTTTTCATGCAATAAGCCTTTGTCTCACCATGAGATTATTGTTTCAGCGTTGACAGCAGTTAGTATGTTTGTCTACATGTGAATGGCTTATGAATAATGAATTATTTCTTTTCTGTTCTCTCCACTTAGATCTCAAGAACCTGTTTGACCTTTTGCAAATATTTTGTAAGGATTACCAAATAATGTGATGGAAGGTAGTGTTCACAAACTAAGTTGCAACACTCCCAAACAGGCTGAAAATATAAAATGCCTTAAGGCAGCTTTCTCTGGCTCAGTGCTAGGGGTGGATGGTGTGCAAGTTTTCAGCTTGAAGTCCATCTATCTGTCTTTCAGCTGCAGATTCAGATAGGGTAATGGCCATCCAGAATGGCCACTGAAAATGTGCTGACAAGAGGATAGCTGAGCTCTTGTGGAAGCTGGCATATCACTGTGTGTTTAGATGGCACTGACGTGTGAGACTGTATGGGAATCTCTGAGATGAGTCTCCTGGTGGTCAGAACCCAATCACTGATCTTCCACTTCCCCTAGCTTGCTTTATTCGGTCTATTGTAATTACTTCACCCTCCTAGATCATATCCAGACTTTTTTGTTGTTCCTCCTCACCAGCATTGAATAGCTCTCTGAAACATTTTGTTTCTTCACCCCGATGTTGTCTTTACATAATAGATCAAAGGACATGAAGCACAGCAATTGGCTGCCTGACCAAACACCTTTTGTTTGACTGCTTTAGTGAAAGTCAGCCCAGATGTGGCAATGACTAACCCCCTGTCTGGGCAGAGGTCTGTACGACCTGTTCCCTGCAGGCTCTGCTGAAGTAGCAGGTGCTGGGCTCTGGCAAGTAAGCTGGCCAAACCTGTGCTGCTTTCAATTACGCAACCAT